CCTCGCGTGGGGACTGTGTCTCTGGCCCGGGCCTCGCGTGGGGACTGTGTCTCTGGCCCGGGCCTCGCGTGGGGACTGTGTCTCTGGTCCTGTCCTTGTGTGGGGACTGTGTCTCCAGCTTCTCTCCCCGCCCAGCCCCAGAGTGGAAGAGACCCCATGACTTCCATTGCCCGCGCCCTACCTACTCATGGCCCAGGGCTCCCGCTCCAGTTTCCATCTTATCCAGAGAGATGCTTGCTTTGAGGGATACCCTTCCCCTTCCCCTCCACCCTCACACACATGCATGCACACACATATATGCTAATGCTTTTTCTATCAGTCTCTGTATTTCCCTCTGTGTTTCAGAAGGTAGTGTGGGAAAACAAGCACAGAGCTGTCTTGACTGGATACACAATTTCATGCCAGTTTGAGGATCTTTTCAGTCTTTCAATTGCAATTTTCATTGAGATCTCAATAAGTAGTAATACAGAGATCCCGTGAACTCTTTATCCAATTTTCCCCAGTGATTAGCATTTTGTAAAACTACATTGCAATAGTGTACTCAGGATGATTCCATCCCTCACACTTTTTAAAAAAAGATTTATGCGTACAGAACTGGGGTGCAGGTCAGAGGAGCAGAGGCTGAGAGGATTCACCAGAAGCAGAGTGGGGAGCAGAACAGACAGATTGACAGAGCACACTACTGAGAGGAACAGCAGGTGGGTCAGGAGAGGTCTGCTGTGCCGTGTAGGTCACCTCTGGGGAGGGGATCGAACTCGCATTAAAGTAGCTGTGGCTAGCTTGCAGTGCTGTGCTTTAACCCGTTGCGCCACCAGGGAGGGCTATCTCTCACAATTTTTTTTTTTAAAGATTTATTTATTTGTGCATACAGAACTGGGGTACAGGTCAGAGACTCAGGGGTGGTGAAAGACTTCACCAGAGACAGAGTGGGGAGCAGAACAGGCAGATTGATGAAGTACACTGCTGAGGGGAGCAGCGGATGGGTCAGGAGAGATCTGCCACGCCATGTGGTCACCTCCGGGGCAGGCGGGAATCGAACTCATGTGGAAGTGGTTTCAGCTTCTTAGTGCAGTGCTTTAACCCGCTGCGCCACCAGGGAGGGCCTCTCTCACAATTTTTAAGAGAGAGAATTAAAATTGTCCTACTCTCAGAGAGGTTAGGATGACCCTGGAGCCAGGAGACTGTGGGAGTCTGATCCAGCCCTATTGCAATTCCCTAGTGGGCTCCCCGGGACTCAGCTTCCTCAGCAATTATAAGGAGGGCTGGGGTGCAAATGTCTCATAGGTTTCTTCCATTTCTACCATTTCATATAACTTAGGCAGCTCCTGGGGCCCACCTTTTCTTCAATCAACTCTTCCCAACCCCTTCCCCACCCGTGATTTATCGGCATGGAACACCTCCTGGGCTACTGAGGTCTTCCATTCTATTCATGGGTTGATTCAGGGCTGGGGTTATGACCTAGGTCGGCTGATGGAAGCCATCAAGGACAACTGTATAACAGTAGGAGGTGCGGAGCAGTTAGGAGGTAGACCTGGGGCCCAGTCACCTGGCCATACCAGAGGAAGCATTTGCTCAGAATGGAGGAAAGGGGGAGGAGCTGGACAAACCGATTCCTAGAAATGTGAGCTGACTGAGCTGAAGGTCACATCACTATCCCCAGTGACTCTTGAAGTCACTGAAGCCTCACTTTCCATCAAATCAGGGTATGATGTCTTGTCTCTTCCAGACAATAGGAACGACCTTCTGGCCCTCACATGTCTGGCTCTGTGGATGGCTCAGCAGGATGGCTGCATCCCAGGGAAGTTGGCACCCATCTGCAAGCTTGGAATTAATAGTGCACTGGGGGGGGGTGCTTGATTTTTTGTGAAGACTGCAGAGGAGTTTATGGGCATGATCTCATTTGATTTTAGCTGCAACCGAGTGATATCACATTGATGTAAAAGTCCTTCCCTCCTTCCTGCATGCAAACCAAGTTAGGGGGAGCCACCCCTTAAACTATTAAGTTTGTCTGGCTCCTTCAACTCTGTTTGGAGGGATGTCCTGTGTCCTCTTCAGGCCTTGCGTAATTTTGACGCATAGACCTCATTCCTGAGCCACTTGTCAGGGTTTATCACCCAGAGACATTTGTGCTCTCCTTCCAGCTGGGCGATTAGCACCAGTTCTCTGGGAGCTTAACTCCAAGCTCCAGTAGGCAGTCCATGGCCAAAGGGTCATCTAGCCCCCTGCTCTCAGTGGACTTCTGGAAAGTCTCAGTACATATTGACTTAGGACAATAAATAGAGGATTTCAATTGGAGTTGTGAGTTAGGTCCACCTGGAGAAGTTTCAGCCTGTCTGTTCTTCTGTTCCTCCATCCATCATCTCTACTTATTTAAATAGTTAGTACAGGCCAAAGGTAAACAATTAAAACAAAGCTTCTTCATCTGTAAAATAAGCATAATAACATCTGGCATGGAGTTGCTATGATAATTAAATGAATTACAATATGCAAAGTGCCCTGCGCAGTGGCTCACAGTAAGAATAATTACTGTTAATATAAATCGTGTACTCCGTGGAACTTCTCTGTATACATAGATGCAAGTAGACATAAACACACACCTACCTGCACGGGCACCCACATGTCTCAAGGAAATTTCATTCCAGCAACTTCTCAGAACTTCTGACCCAGGCCTAGTCACACCCCTGGCCAGATAGAGGACATTGTAGTGTTAGCCAGGCTTGGGATCCTCAGGCTGCAGAGCTGAGTAAGACTCTGGGGAGCACAAGGAAGTTAGAGTGGAACCACTAAGGTGAGACGGACCTTGTTGGCACAAGTGCGTAAGTCGGGTGGACTGCCTGAAGGAGGGGGCCATGAGGTAAATATATTCGGGATGACTCTGCAAGTAACAATAACATCAGTAACAGAATTGTGGGAAAGGTTGGTTTGCTTATTGCCAAGGTTCTCTGGAGCCCCAAACTGAGGACAGTGGGCACCAAGATCTTCTACCATCCTGAGGGCCCCAGAGGGGCCAGTGGAGTATTGCCTGGGGTTGCCAAGAGGTAGCAGAAATGCTCCTGCACCTTCACCAACTCACTTCCCAGCCTGGCATGAAGGTTCACAGGCATCACGAGTCATCAGTCTGGTGACTTTTCCTTCTTCGGTGGGAACTTTACTCCGAAAGGAAACTCTATAGAGAAAGGGCAGCCAGCGTCTCACCCTGGCCTCATGCCTGCTGAGCTGATGCAACCTGAGTTCTTCTGGGGCTGCCAGTGGAAGGAGACTTCTCGGACACCTGGCCGGTCTCCAGACTGGGAATGTAGCCACGGAGGGGCTGGAGGCTGCTCCTGTCTAGGGATTCTGAAGGTGGCCGAGGAGCTGCAAGCAGGACAGGGAAGTGGCGCTGCATGGTGGCACCCTGTACGGTGGACGCGGCAGGCTGTGGGTGCTTCTCAGGGGCCACTGGCTGCAGCAGCCACCCACTCACCCTCAGCTGCACTCACCCAAGCAGATGGCCTGCCTAGCGAGAGGGGTGCCAGGGCAGGCCAGCTGGAGGGCATCGCCCATGTCCGGGCAGCACAGGGCATCTCGAAAGCCTAGCCGTGAAACCCTCAAGAAAGCTAATACTCCAGTGCCCAAGACTTGAAGGGAAAGAGAGGGCTTGAGCAGCCTCAGTTTGCTGCCTCTCTCCTGCTTTCTGTTTAAACATCTGCAGGAGATGCTGGAGCAGAGCAGAATCCGAGAGAGAACTGGGAACAGCTGTTCTTGCCCAGTACTGGTGCATGCAGTGCCGGAAGCTGAGTAAGACCAGGGAGGTGTCCATTCCAAGGCAGGGACTCCAGAGAGGGTGGTTAATGTGGCAGGTGGGCCAAGGTCTTACCGAGGCTGAAGCGGCCCCGGGGCACGGGCAGACGCAGCTCCATCCTGATTGTCCACCCAGGGCCAAGATGGGGGTTTTGCTGTCTAACGTCTCTCCTTGGGGGGTGCCACCCCACCCCACACACTTGGTGGCTTTGTGACCTGGTGGCTTTATGACTGTGGCGGGAGTGGGTGCTGGGAAGATGATGAGGGCTGAGGAAGGGTGCGGTAGCCTCTGCCACATGGGAGGCTGCTTCCTGGGGGCACAGATTTCAGTTTTCAACCACATAGAATTGGACAGAACGAGACCAGGTTATTTCATACCTGAAAGTGACCAGGAAGCTGGGGGATCAATTTGCCAGGTTGAGGGAGACAGACAAGGAAGATTGACAAGAGCACAGGTAACCAGACAGAAACTTTTGGTCACCTCTCAATCCAGACTGAAAGACACTGACTTCCCGGCACTAGGAGAACTGTGAGGTGGCCCTCAGGGAGTGGCCTCCATTCAGTGACCTCAGGAGGCAGCTTGGCTAATGCTGTGTCTTCCAGAGGGAAGGGCGGGGCTCTGGGCAGGCAGTGTCTTGCCTAAAGTCACTGGGCTTCTGGGGCGCCTTCAGGTTTGGTGCAGACCCACACCCCTCACTCAGCGGCTGTGGCTCCTGTAGGCTGTCCCTCCTTCCCCTTGGGCACAGTGCTTTGGCTTCATTGCAAGCGCTAATGTTGTTAGTGGGTGGAATGAGGGACCCCCTGAGACCCCTCCCCAAACCTGCCTGCTCTACGTGGTTTCTGCCATCTGCTTTATAAAGACAAACACTCTAAGAGCATAAGAACTTCAGTAGAAAAGAACGTAACAGTGTGCAATAGAGAGAAGAGAAAAAATACAGTTAAACAGTTTCCTTATGAAATACCCAAAGTTACCCCATCCTCTTACGGGTCAATGTGCAGCTAAAAAGCGGCCTGAAGCGGGACTGCTGAGCCCCCAAAACCTGCCACAGATCTAAGACACCTCCTGGTGGGGCCCTGTAGGAAAAGGCCAAAGGGGTCAGGCAAGTCAGGGAGGAAAGACTCAAAGGCAAAACCTAAGGCCAGATAAAGGCCACCACTGTTGGCTTCCCCATGGGGTCTCACCATGTCCCTGTCTCGTGTCTCTGTCCATGTCCCCCAAGTGTCTCCCCCAAGTCCCTGGTACAAGTCCAAGGCCAAAAAGCAAGCGCAGCTTCACGTGTCTCCCACTCTGTGTCTTCTCTTTTCACTTCTTTTCAGTCTTTTCCGGAGCTGCTTCTCTACCGCTCAGCTCTGTGCTTCCTTGGGTGTGGCAGGGAACCTGAAACCTCCCCTTTCTTCAGGTGTCATGCTGTCACAATGCATCTAGTGACATGACCACATTTCCCAGCCTCCTCGCATTCAGGGACTGAGATTTGAGCAAAGGCTTTTTTTTTTTTTAGAAGATTTATTTATTTACTACATCAATTCAAAGAGCTTCTATACAGCAAAAGAGACATTTCAAAAAACAAACAGACATCCCACTGATTGGGAAAAAATTTTCTCACACAAAGCTAGCAATAAAGGATTGATCACAAAGATATACAAAGAACTGATGAAACTCAACAAAAATAAACAACCCCATCAAAAAAAAAAAAAAGGGCTGAAGAGCTAAAGAGACACTTCTCCAAAGAGGAAGTGCAGATGGCCAACAAGCATATGAAAAAATGTTCAACATCACTTGTAATAAGGGAGATGCAAATTAAAACCACAATGAGATACCACCTCACCCCAGTGAGGATGGCACATCTTCAAACAACTAGCAACAACAAATATTGGTGAGGATGTGGAGAAAAAGGAACTCTCCTGCATTGTTAGTGGGAATGCAAACTAGTACAACCACTATGGAAAACTATTTGGAGGTTCCTCAAACTGCTAAACATAGAGCTTCCATATGACCCAGCAATCCCACTCCTAGGTATCTACCCAAAAGACACAAAAACACAAGCACCCCCATGTTTATTGCTGCTTTATTTACAATAGTAAAGACATGGAAACAGCCCAAATGCCCAGAAGTGGCTGATTGGATTAAAAAGATGAGGTACATATATACAATGGAATATTACTCAGCAAACAAAAAAGAGAAACACATGCCTTTTGCAGCAAACATGGATGGAGCTGGAAAAGATCATGCTTAGTGAAATAAGCCAGAAAGAAAAGGAAAAATACCGATGGTTTCACTCATAGCAGGAGTGTAATAGACCAGGCAAGAAAATAATAATAATAATGAACAACTATATAGCAGAGACATTTTATGGGGGTGGAGTGGGGAATGGGATCAGTAACAGTGGGGGGAGGGAAGTTCACTGGACTATAGTGATGGCACATGGGTGATTTGGTGATGGGAAGCCCATGAGGATTACAACTGAAATGGAAAAATGCACAAAATGATATAAAAATAAACTATTATATTATTAAAAAAAAGATTTATTTATTTATTCATCCAGAACTGGGGTACAAGCCAGAGGTGCAGGGGTGATGAGATGACTCACCAGAGACAGAGTGGGGAGCAGAACAGGCAGATCAACGAAGTACACTGCTGAGGGCAGCAGCGGGCGGGTCAGGAGAGGTCTGCCACACCATGTGGTCACCTCCGGGACTGGAGATAGAACTCACACTGAAGCGGCTGTGACTTCCTTGCAATGTGTGTCCTAACCTGTTGCACCACCAGAGAGGGCCCTGAGCAAAGGCTTTCAGGCAGCACCTGCAAGCAAACTTCTAAGTGGTATGTACCTTTGTGCCCTTCACTCCTGTCTTCCTTGCTTCTTCTAGGGCCCACGGGTGGGATGCTGGGAGTGCTCGCAGCCACTGTGGATGATGAATATCCTTGAGAATAATGAATAACCTTGAGAATGGGCATCATGTAACAAGGACTTTGGGCGGGAGAGTTGGCAGAAGCCTGGGCCTCTGATGATTCTGTTGAGACTGTACTTGACCTACCTTGTTTAAGTTGAGTTCTTTCTGGCCTGTTGCCAGCAGTTGAACGCAGATTCTAATAGATACAATGACCTGGTGATCTGTCATTGCCAATGGAAACAGTGCTGAGGCCCTTCGATGGGACCAGCCTCAAGTGACGAGGTCCTGAGCCAGAGCTTCCTTCTCTCGGCACCAGCCCCTGACTGGAGTCATCCTCCCTCCCCCATCCTGGCAACCCCTTGGTGCTTGCACAAGACCTGAGGACTTGACCAGGTGTCCTGTCACTGCTCCACTTTCCAAGGGCTGAAACTCCTCAAGGACAACATCGTGACAGAAACTGTGTGCTCCAATCTGGAGGAATCCTTGGGAATTACAAGCAGACCAGGCAAGTCACAGACATTCCATCACTGTAGCACCTAGGGGCTTCTCGGAGGAGGTGGGGACGGGACTTTGGGACTGATGTAAGTGACTGGGACAGTTGTAAAGGGATTTTTAAACTAGGAGGAGGGGTCCTCCCTGGTGGCATAGTGGGCTAAAGTGCAGTACTATGAAACTGGAGCCACTGCAGCACGAGTTCGATCCCCAGTCAGGGAGGTGACCCACATGGTGCAGCAGACCACTCCTGTCTCACCCACTGCTCCCCTTAGCAGTGTGCCTTGGTAAATCTGCCTCTTCTGCCCCCCCCCCCATTCTGTCTCTGAGGAATCCTTTCACCCCCTCCATACCTCCTGACCTGTACCCCAGCTCTTGTATGCATAAACAGACAAATCTTTAAAAAACAAACAAAAAAAAAACTAGGAGGATCCGAAGATCTGGTGAAAATTTCCAAACAAGAAACCAAGAAACTGTTTTTTTTTTTAAAGATTTATTTATTTATGCATACAGAACTGGGGTACAGGCCAGAGGTGCAGGGGCAGTGAGAGGATTCACCAGAGAATGGGGAGCAGAACAGGCTGACTGACGAAGTACACTGCTGAGGGGAGCAGCGGGTGGGTCAGGAGAGGTCTGCCACGCCATGTGTGTCAGCTCTGGGGCAGGCGGGCATCGAACTTGCACTGAGTGGCTGTGGCCAGCTTGCAGTGCTGCGTCTAATCCCGTTGTGCCACCATGGAGAGCCCGGAAACTGGTTTTGAATGGAAGAAACAGGCCGTTTGGGGGGAACACTGACAACTAGCAGCATTAACAGCTACAATGCTTTGGGGAAACCCAAGATGGTTTCACTTACATTACGCCCCTGCTCTTTCTAGGTGTGCGCGAGTGTCTCAGAAGTGTGGGCCAGTGGTTGGTGTCAGTCAGAGCTCCACGGGCTGTCGGTAAGATTCACACGTGTTCCTTCCCTTGGCAAACTTCCATGGAACATAAGAGCAAAGGAGATTTTGCCAAAGGCACCCCCACCATTAAAGGGTGTGTTGTGTTGGCTGACGGCAGGTAGGCAGCAGAGACATTGGCTTGGTGGACCGCTCATATTTTGCCTTTCTGTGTTGTCTTTCAGAAAAGAATTCAGGAGAACCCGACTTTTGACTGCAAAGAATCTGAAACACCAACCGACTGACTGACACCAACTACGTGACCACACTTCTGAGAGTCTCACACACACCTTCAAAGAGCAGGGGCGTAATGTAAGTGAAACATCTTGGGTCTCACCAAAGCATTTCCTGTTCATGCTGCTAGTTGTTAGCGTCCCCCCAAAATAGCCTGTTTCTTCCATTCAAAACCAGTTTCCGGGCCCTCCCTGGTGGCGCAATGGGTTTGGACACAGCACTGCATCCAAACTCACGTATGATATTAAACCTGCTTTGAAAAAGCTAGATGTGGGCTCCCTGGTGGTCTAAGGGTTAAGTCTCAGGGCTAGCACCTGAGTTTGCTCCCCAGCCAGGGAGGTGACCCACATGGCACGCCAGACCTCTCCTGTCCCACCCATTGCTCCCCTCAGCAGTGTACTTCATCATCAGTCGGCCTGTTCTGCTCCCCACTCTGTCTCTGGTGAATCCTCTCACCCACCACACCTCTGGTCTGTACCTCAGTTCTGTACAAATGAATAAATAAATGTTAAAATAAAAGAAAAAGCTGGGTGTCATGGGGAATCCTCCACAGGCATGTTATCTAG